ACCCTAAACCCTCAACCTTAACCGTGTCAAACTGATTGGCTTGAAGTCCGTGGGTGGTCGTGTGCCATCAAATCGCCCCAATCGGGGGCCCAGCCAGAGAACTCCGATCCTGACCATGAGGTTTGGGGTTTAGGGTTTAGGACCCCCTAAACCCTAAACCCTGAACCCTAAACCCTAAACCCTAAACCCTTAGGGTTTAGGGCTTAGGGCCTCCCAAGCCACAAAGATTCCGATGAGGTTTGGGAGTTTCCGGGTTGCTGGGGGCGTGCCGGTCGTGAGGGTAACAGGCAATGACGTCCGAGGCTTAGGATATGGCCCTATAGTCCCCCTTAAGTAGATAGAATATGGGGTATTTGGGGATCTTCTTATAGTATGCCCAAAGCCACTTTCTATCTACTTAAGGGGGACTATATACCCTAAACCCAGCCATCTCGCTAGCCAAGGATTCAGACCACACCTCGGCTCAAGATGAGCTTATGATCAGATGGGACCAAATAGCTTGACTTGAGGAAAGAGCTGGCATCTTCATGTAACATGCTTTGCTGAGGGGACAGGAAGACCCAGGAAGAAAGTCATCACCAACTGGACTCTTAGAGCGAACCCTACACCCTGAACCCTAGGTCTCCCTACGCAACCCTCTACATCCATGTATATAGTCCCCCTTACATAGATAGAATATGGGGTACATGGAAACCTTATAATAATATACCCAAAGTCATATTCCATCTACTTAAGGGGGTCTATAGCCCATATGTCCCTATCCCCAATACGAAGGCTAAGTCCCCGCAATGCTCCAAGCACTGGCTCTGTTGGCAACCCAGCACTTCCTGTTAGGTAGAAAACCTTAATGTTTAGAGTGTGTAGGCTTTAAGAAGTTTAGGGGGTTTAGAGTTTAGGAAGGTTGGCCCTAAACCCTAAACCCTAAACCCTAACCCTAAACCCCAAAAAATCTTAAACATGTTCAGAAAGTTCGGAGTTTAGAGCTCAAAGATGGTAATCAGACATACAAAACGCGCAACACCTGCATGAAGAGGTTTAGAGTCTAGGGTTTAGGGCAGGCACAAGACGTGATCAGGTGGTATGTGTGATTTAAAGGCGAACGTAGCCCAAGTTTTTTTCCTACCAGTTACCCAAAGTGCCTGAACACTACTCTTCACACAAGGTTAGTACAACGCACCCAGGACCCTATGATGCTTCAGATACCATGCCCCATAAACCCTCGACAAGAGCAGTTTCCATTTCCAGTTCCATGTTGTTTCCACTAGGTTTGCCATGGTTCTCGGGAAGCGTAAGCCCCATACTTGCTAGACCCTAAATGGGGGTTTCCCAAAATTAGGGGTACCATTTTGGGGGGCCCTATAATAATGACTACAGTATTTTGGGGTCTATATTGAGGTCCCCCTATCAGCAATACGTTTCTGCAATCAGCATCTGCTTCCACCTTGCGTGAGGCCGCATTTGCATTAGCACGAACAGAGCTGATTCAGTCATTCGGACACTCAGCACCAAGCCATCTCCAAAACACGAAACCACCTAGGCCCATCAGCTTTCGGCACGGAAGCAATCAGAAAGAAATGTCCGCATGGTGTGTAATGGAATCAATACACTCATTCTGAGCAGTGCAAAGTAGTACAGACCTTCAACACGAAACCCTAAAGCCTGCCTGTAAACCCTGAATCCTGACTTCTGAATCCTGACTTCCCTAAACCTGTACAGTTGGGATTTATGGGTCTAAACTGAGCTCTTAATCCTGGGACCCTTGTAACCTACTACATACAGTGTAAGATACTGTAGGGGCCCAGTGTTAGGACCTGGGAAAGAGGTAGAAACCCAACTTCTGGGCCATGATTTTGCCTACTGGTCCCTACACCCTAAATCCGAAACCCTGAACCCTAAACCGCAACTCTAAACCCCGAACCCTAAACTCTAAACCCTACACTATAAATCCTAAACCCTATACTGTAAACCCTAAACCGTGTCCAGGTAAATCGCAGTTCGAGGTTCAACCCGTTCATGGCGCCTAGCAAACTGACGGCTCCACTGCCAGCAAAGTCATGCGCACCTAACCTGGGTTATATAGGGTTTAAGGTCAAAGGTTTGGGGTGTAGGATTCAGGGTTTAGGGTTGAAGGGTTTTGGGTGTAGGGTTTAGGGTGTAGGGTGTTGGGTTTAAGGTTTTGGGTTTTGGGTTAGGATTTGGGTTTAGTATTTAGGGCTTAGGATTCGGTCTACACTCCTTGAAGCAGGTTATCTGAAGGACGAGTATATAGGGGACTACTGCATCTATACACCAATACTGGAGAATCCAATAGAAAAGAAAAAGGAAAACACAAAAGGAAACTGGGATTGTCTATAAGGTTTAAGGTTTCCGGTATAGAGTTCAGAGTTTGGGCTTTAGGATGGCAAGGGAGAATTGCAGGTGTAGGGTTCGTGATTTAGGGAGGTTAGAAAGTTTAGGTTTTGGAGTTTGAGGGGTGTTGGGTATAAAAGTTCGGGGAATGTAGCATTTAAGGAATCAGGTTTTGGGTTCTGTGTAGCGTATAGGGTTCAGGGTCGCAATGCGGGTTGCAACTTTTTAAGTTCAGTTAAGCTTCTCAGGCTTTGGAGGCTTTACCTTACAGCTTCTGCTAATGTCTGTCATAGACAGCCCAACCGGGAACAGTTTAGGGTTTTATTTAGGCCGTCGGATTTGGAAGGGAAAATGAAGGGATGAGCCCTGCCAGCAATGATATGTTGGATGTTTCTCAGCGCAGGCTGCTTCTTCACCGAGATCCTCTGCACAATCTAATCTTACTTGTTCTTAGTAGTAGGAAGATAGGAATAGTTTTTGCAAGTATCAGACATGCATTATACTCCCTTATTTCCTGCTTAGACAAGTAAGAAAAGTGCACCATTGGAAGATTCCCTAGCCTATATTGTCGGTCCCTATTGGGCTCTTCTCTTGAGGAGCTCGTTCGGCGAAGGGGCACACTGTCCTGTTCAACCAGAATCCTGTCGTCAGCCCTATCCCATCGTCAGCGCCTGTGAAACTTCAATCTTTCACGCCTTTTTTTTGGGGGTGATACCAGCACCCTAAACTGGAGAGCCCCGCTAACCATCTGCATGGGTGCTCGAACCTCATGACCGAGGGCTCTGCCCGAGCATCAGAAGAAGCACAAAAACCATCAAACAACCTCAGAACCAAACGCGCAGAGCGAGCAACTGTCGCGACGCTAAAGCCACAACAACCTGACAGGCTTTGGCCGCATGATGACGAAACAAACTCGGAACAGCGGAGAGGCTGAGGCGTCGTTCTGAACCCTGCATTGCGTGGCGTTGCAAGGAAACTGTAAGTTAGCCCCCTTGTTAGGGGTACACCGCGCAAAAAATGCATTTCCGCCCAAACCCATTGGGACTGGCCTGCGTGGCACGAACAACGCTGTTGGACCTTCCGAGGCCTCAAAATCTCTGCTGCCACCACGCATGGCGTTTTTGCTGAGCATCCATGCGGCGACCATAACAACATCCGCCCCCTTTGCGTACGGTTTCCCACAGCATCCATTGCCTAACCATAATAACGTTCGTGTTCCAAGAGCATACGGTCACCAGAGCATCCATGCCCAAACCATATTAACGTTCGTGTTCCAAGAGCATACGGTACTCATGACTGTGGTGCAGGTGCTTGCAGTGTACGCGGGCGTTGGGCCATAGTCCAAACGCAGAGACAGACAGTGCCTGGCTGAAGCTGTGAAACAACGAGCCGTCTGTGTCCTTCCTTGAAAACATGTAAAACCTTTCATGCTGAACCGCCTCCATGCGCGCGAAACCGCAGCGGCAGCACAATTTTTGGGATTGTTCTTCCAGTTTTGTCTTTTGCTCGGTAACCACTTTGACTCCGCCGAATCCTGAATATGCCACGTCTGCCAGGGATTTTGACATGCCCTCATATCAGCTGCGGCTCTTGGCGAGCGTTTACGACCCATAGGAACATTGAAACACCCCGCGCGTATCCGCTGATGCACACCCTAAACCCTAAACCCTAAACCCTAAACCATAAGCAGCCATGCCCTTTCACCCAAGTAACTGGTGGAGCCACCCGTCTTCGGCCCACTCCCAATGCGCAACAAAGGAGTACACGATGACGGCGTAGAAAGAATAAAAGCAGTACCTGCGCGGATTAGGGATTAGGGTTCAGGGTGTAGGGTTTAGGGTCTAGGCTTTAGGATTATCTGTTTAGGGTTTAGGGTCTAGGGTTTAGGGTTATCTATTTAGGGTTTAGGGTCTAGGGCTCAGGAGGGTATGGGGTTCAGGAGGGTATAGGGTTCAGGAGGGCCTTGGGATTTCAGTACTCTTGGGATCAGTGTGGGGTATAAAGTCTATGAATAGTAACTGTTAATTCTCAACTTGCTTGTGGTAGGGTACATGGCGTTGAAAAAAAAGGTGTGCCCGTAGTATATTGCAAGCGGCCAGAAACACTAGAAACCTTGTTGCAGGCTCATCCCAGTTTTGGACTACTTTTTGTAACACCCTCGCTTACTTCAGAAAAGTCTGAAAAGCCTTCTGAAGGCTGCCAGAAGTACACCAGAAAACGACATCGCATTGCCAGGCATCCGCTGACTATCGTCGTGGATGTGGCAGCAAAACTGAATTGAAAAACATACCTGCTGTGGATCAGCCCCGTATCTGAATGGTCACCATCATTGGCATCCACAAAGAAATCGCCCAGACCCATGAAGCAGTTTGATGGTCGGCCATATGAAATGCCATAGCCCACCATGTAGTAGGCCAAAGCCCCACAGACAACGTCAAAGATATTCTTGAGCACAACATTCACCTCGTGCCCTCTGGAAGACGTTCCCATTTCCTGAGCTCTAGGGCAGTTTTCATCTGAACATTCATGTCAGGCTTAGGGTTTAGGGCTTTGAGGTTTAGGGTTCATTTCAAGGTCCAGGGGCTTAGGGGTTTCAAGTGTTGTGAGCGCCCATGATGCTTTGGGCTGCCAAAGGGCCAAAAAGCTTATGAACCACCTCCCCTGTCAGCAAGTCGCCAAGAATCTGCTCCCCGCATAAAAACAGAAAACTGGGTTTAGGGTCTAGGTTTTAGGGTTCAGGGTTTAGGGTGGGTGCGATCGTTGATTTCTCAGGTTTGCAGGGATTGAGTTTCGACAATGCGTAAGTCTACCTCGCGATCTCACGAGACTGATGCCCCACACCGCTTCAGGAACCGAAACATTCAGCTGGACGTCAAAAACACGGTCCATCCTTGGAATTCACCCATATGGTACGGGACCCCAATATAGACCCAAATACTCTAGTCCTTATTATAATAAAGGCCGCCAAAAAGGTACCCAAAATTTTGGGAAACCCCCATATCTCACAACATCAACACAGCATATTGCCAGCTTATGTTCCACTCTGCAGGAACAGCAGGCTCCCACTCTTGAACCGCAAGAGCTACACGTCGAACGACATCACCTTAACCCGAACATTTCAACCCCCAAAACCTCTCCAGTCCCAGAGGCAAGCATGCCAAAGCCACTTTGCATGGTCAGTATGACGAAGCTGCTGGTGAGGACCTGAAGGTTGGGGGTTTAGGGATTTTGGAATTTAGGGGTTTAGGGATTGGGGTTTAGGTCTTAGGGTTCAGGGTTTAGAGTTTAGGGTTAGGGTATGTCAAGCCAAGCTGTCACAGAATTCCTTCTGGCTCTTTATTGAGATTTCTTGTTCTACTACGTGCAACTTTAGGTGGACCCCCCACCCAGTAATAGTGACTATAAGGGACAATAGGGATTATATTAGGGTCCTCTTATATTCTTATTATACCACTATTACAGGGTGGGGGGTCCTCCTAAGGGCAACTATACAAATTTCCCCGATTGTTGATTGTTGGAGCAATACTTTTGGCCCAGTCCTTCTGCATGACCGTATACCTCTGCTTTAGCATGAAACCCTAAACTAACAAGTGATTTTGGCAACCCCAGATTAGGACCCTATAACTATCGCATGACTATAATAACGTCCTATTTTTCGGGGTTAGGGTTCCCAAAACCTTTCTATTTCAAACGTAAACACTAAACCTAAACCCGAAGCCCTAGTTTTCAAGAGAAAGCTTTCTGCAGGTCGCGCAGCAGGATGCGGAGAGGCAAAAGTTTATAGTCGAGACGCCCGCCTTGGTATGTCGAAGGTTGGAATTCAGATGGACAACTTATGTAACAGAAGGTTCCATGGGTAGTCGTAGGCCTGGTTTAGGGTTTAGGGTTTGAGTTGCCTCAACTACAAAAAGAACTAGTTATGTGGAATGGAAGGCCCATGGATAATTTGCCATGAGGCTTTCAATATAGGGTTTGCTGAGGCCCGTCGGTGCGTTTTAGAGGCCTTTGCACGGAGTAGTGGCTGACGACAGCAGCTGACTTTTCCAGATCTCGGACAAAGGATCAGAATGAAAGGCTTAGGGGGTTGGGGCTTGCAGTGCCATGTTTAGTTTGTACAGGCCTTATCTCCCGGTTTTGGACTTGAGGGAAGACATGGGTATCTGTTGGGTACAGCCGTCACCCAGCAACAGCTAGGTAGGTTTAGTGTTTGGGGTTTAGGGTTCATGGGTTTGGGGCATGTTGTTCTATTGTTCTACGGCATCATACGCTCGTAATTGTAAAGTATGATGCTTCTCTCACGTGTTTATTGCTCCGAGGACAGTGGTTTGGGGAGCCTAGTAGGGAATGAGAGAGCAGATAATCGGTGAGTGATTGGGGGTCTTACGGGGGATATTGACAGTTTTGCGTGACTCTGGTATACTACAGTACCATAATTCTCTTAGGGTCATGCAGGAATTGTACTCTCAACCCGAACAATCTAGTCTACCCCCAGTTTCCAGTTAATTTTCCATCTGTAAGGGGCCTACCGGAAGGATCCATTCCTTCACTTCCTTATGGGCATTAGGCAGCCAGCCTTCAACTTGAAGCCATAGGCCCCAAGGCACGCCGAACCGACGAATTTCCAAGCAAAGCCCCAATTTTCAAGGGACGAAAAGTAGGTTTTTGCCTATGTTCCCAAACTCCTCCTTGCCGTGGCTTTCTGCACTGCCACCTCCTCTTCTGGCTCTGGAACTCGCACCGTGGCCCCATGGACGAGCGGCTCTACTGTACTTGGCCAAGGAGTGTTGGTCCGGAGTGGCTAGCAGCTTGCCATGAGAACAGCAAGGCTTTTCCGACGGACGGCATGCTCCACGTGAAGCTCATGGTCTTCAGCCAATGCACAGTTTACAGCGGCAGAGAGGCATGGGCGGCCAATTCCAGAACCCGAGCCCCTGTACGCGAGGGCGGTAGCCTGAAGAGTGTCCTGCGCATATTGCGCTGCCACTCCGACATACAACGGTGGAGTGGACGTGGGGCCCTTTTGCGGTATTGCGCCGCCTACGTGACAAAGTGCAAGTTAGCTTGGGACGCTCTGGCCTTGGCCGAGGGGGTCACCGTCTGGACACAAGCTTCGACGCTCTTGAGAAGTTGGAAAGCCACGGTTGCCGAGATGGCCTTATCGCGGCAACCCCTAGTATTCGGCAATTTCCTGGGAATAGAATACCGGCCCATTCTCTATACAGAGACCAAGGACAGAGAGCTGCACTTGTACCGCCCATGACCTTCCAGTCAAGAATCCATGACCTTCCTGCAATGGCTTCGAACGCACACAGTGCAGGGAAATCTCCAAGACCACACGGCAAGAGGCAAGCCGCGCCGCAGCAACCAGCTTGTACGCGTTGGCATACTTTACAGCAAACATGCGGATGACCGCTTTTACTGGCAGTGGCTGCTTCTCCACAAAGCTCACCGAACATCCCAGGAGCTGTTGCCTGCAGCAGTCTTGGCCGTGCCATCCCCTAATGCGCATGCTGGTCTTACGGCTCGCCCGCTGCCCCTTCGACCCTAAGCTGGGTTGCTGCTAAGGAATTCAAGTTAAGTTACCATAATGAGTATATAGAGTAACTTATAAGGCTTCCTCAATATTTCCTTACCAGCAACCCAGTAAGCCGTAAACCCAACATCGTACATGAGCCCAGCCATGAGCCCCAAGCCCTAGACCTTAAGCTTTAAACCATAAGCCCAAAACCCTCAAACCCTAAACCTTAAATCCTGCGCCCTGGCCCTAAGCCTTGAACCTTAGCCAAGGAAAGCTGAGCAGGAACGACAAGCCACCGTGGAGCCCCAAGCGTCTTCCGCAATGCCGTGCTAGGGTTTCGGGCTTATTGCTTAGGGTTTGGGGTTTAGGACTTGCGGCTTAGGGCATGGGTTTATGGGTTGAGGCTTCGGGGCTCAGGTTTTAAGACCTAGGGTTTACCCAACGGGCTCATTTCCAGGGATGGTTTTTGGTGGTATTTACAGGGTTTCAATTTTTTGTGTTTTTCACTGACAGGTTTCAGAAAGGTTTTTCGGGTTTGCTTCCAGTTGTCTTGTTTATTATGAAGATGCGTTGCATTGT